GGTGTTGAACAACGAACCAATAATTTGAATTAATGGTAATTGAGCAAGGTATATTTAAATGTTTCTCCATACCTTTCTCATCAAGTAATGAAAGTTTTCTATTTAATTTATATTATTATATTTTTATTATATATATTAATTTATTTCTATTTAATATTCTTACTTACGTATCTGCCCACTTGTATACAACAACGTCCTTAAATCAAGTGACATAAAATTGTGCTTACCATTCGAAGCTAAAAGTATACTGCAAAATTGGTTGCTCGGCTTGACTTACGATTTCGTGTATTGTGAACTTATTGTTATAAAACATTGTTATTTAGTTTATCAAGGACTAGTTAGTACTTTTATATATGTGTGTATAACATATGAGTATATTAATAATGTGCAAACACAACATGTCTTAGGTTTACTTGTTTAAATATTTTAATACTTTCTGCTCATTTTAGAGGCTAAGTATTATGTGTAAATAGATTGTATAAACCCCACGATACAGGCTTGCCTAGTGTGGGGACTGCGGTAATCATAAAACTGTTGCTGTCAATCTTTCAAATAAACTTTATTTTATTTTTTAAACGAAATTCGTCAATTTGAAATTGTTTGGTACTGATTTATTTATAGGAAAAATAGGGCAATGGCAATTTAGGAATATTTCGAACGATTAATTTAATTCCAGATGGAGTAATGGTTATATTTTCTCGGCGAATTAATATAGTATCTTTCTTTATATATGACCCAGTTCAAATAAATAAAATAAGTACAAATACATTATTTAGTGTAGAAAAAAAATTCAGATTTCAGAGGAAGTTAACATCTGAAATAGGATGGAAAAGTAACATCTGAAACCCTCTCCTTCGAGATGCACCAAGCTCAACAGCGGAACGTTGATTTGAACGAATGATTTTTTAATGAGTTGATTTAATGCAAGTTTTCTCTCTCTCTCTCTCTAAGCAATTATTCATACCTCATTGGAATTTCAAACATAAATTTCTTGAACAGAGGCCATTATGCCATCATTACAGTACGTTATAAATAACGTAAAATGTTAAAGACTAAGCTACTTTATGTGTGGCGGGACAGTGACAACAGTTTATCGGTAACCAGCACTTACATTTTTTCCGACACACATTTTATGGCAGTTATCATTTAACTGTACCCTTATCATTCACTCATTTAAATACCACAGTGTGTTTTAAAGGCCCTTATTTTTTAACGTGGTAAAGTAAACTTTAAACTACTTTTTAGTAAATATTAACAATAAAATAAGTACTAAATAAAAATGTATAGCGTTTAATCTGATATTAATGCTTGTAAAATATTGTTGACACTTGAGATCTGTTATTGAAATAGTTTGTATTTAACTGAAAAGGGTTATTTTACTTTATACTAACAACTTCAGGCATTGACCTTGAACCTCAGGACTATATTACAAACATCGTAAACAACAACTTTGTTCGATGACTTTACAAAACATTATAAATTTACCAAAGTGAAACGAACGAAATATATTTCTATATATCTTTGTATTAATAATTATAACAAACTAGTGGTGTAATTTCACATAAAAAAATAGTTGAATACCAAATGAATAAAAAATTGAAATGAAACGAAGTTTATTTTTGTATCTGTATTTGGTAGTGAATTCAAACGTGCAAGCGTCTACCCTGACCACCCCCACTTTCTATTGTCACCGCACATATCTATCACCCTTTACTTAAGAGCGATAATATTTTTATTTTTATACAAGTTTTTTTTATAACATCACGCGACGGAACGAACAAGTCGTGCGCCTGATGGTTAGCTACATGCCGATCCATAGCAGTAACAGTGCCACTCATAGCTTTAAATTGCAAAGATCTGAGGGGCACTATCACTGCACCCGTCACCTTGAGACATAGGTTGACAAGTCCCATATGCCTGTAATTTCAACACCCTCTTACCCTTCAAAACCGGAAGACAGTAATGCTGACATTACTGCTTGGCGGCAGAAATAGGTAAGGTTAAGGCAGTACTACTCTGGACGAACTCTTTCACAAGGAGCTCTACTGCTTCTTAAAATTTTGTAAAAGTAAAATCTAATAGATTATTAAATGTCATGGAAGAAAAGTTATTGTTTATGATGTTAGTAATATAGTTTTGCGAGGTTGTTACTATTTTACAAAATAATATTGTATATTGATGACAGTTTCTTGTGTAAAATAACAAACCTTATACGTTTAATAATAAATGTTATGAACCATGTACAACAATAGTTGACATAATTACACGGGTTTTGTTACCGCGTAGCTTTTGTTGCTTTGCCCGATTGTCGACAATATTGTTCATTGTGATAGTGTCTATATTTGAATACAGTTACTTGGATCATGATCACGGAACGTTTATTGATTATGTATTACGTATGTTTATAATACATGCATTAATAAATATACAGGTAATGCGCACCCTTGGTGTAATAAAGTAACATCTGCATAGTGAGAAATTCAATTATGTAATAAGATTCAGAAAATATACGATTACTTTTTTATGATTAAATAGTAGAGTTATAAATTTCACAAATACAGAGTGTGTTTTAGTAGTTCATATTATTTTTATGAGTTTCATGTGATAAAAGCACATTATGACGTATAATTGCATGTGGCTTTATATCTTTATTATGGGTACGATTGATTTTGACAATAATATTTTCTTTTTTATATAATATCAAGTTACGGGACGAACAAGTCGTGCGCCTGATAGTAAACTACACGCCTGTCCATAACTCAGAGTTATGAATCGCTAAGATCTGACCATTGCGCCAGTCACCTTGAGACATAAGTTTACAAGTCCTATGTGGCTGTAATTTCATCAGTACCCTTACCCTTCAAAACCGGAACACAGTATTGCTGGCATTTATGCTTGGCGGCAGAAATAGGTGAGGTGGCAGTACTTCCCTGGACGAATTCTTTCACAAGGAGCTCTACTGCTGCTAAATCTATGTTATATAATCGTTATACATTTTCAACATTATATATGTATCTATATACTGAATTCCAAATAATTAAATCGACGTGTTACCACTTTTGTAACAATGACGAACATACTCATAACCCCGCATTAAGGAAAACCCTATATTGCGAGTGCCACGTACACACATGTAGACCACAAATTACACTCACAAGAGAAATAAATGTAGGTCATACAAATATTTCTCCTAGCTCGGGACCTCTATGTGGCAGAACAGGTAACCATTCCGCCACAGAGGCAGTTTAAATTTTATAATTACCACGCATCTCAAATATAAACTATTGAAAATAAAAACGCGTTATTAAAGAGTATCGGAGTCCTTCCTGTTCAAAGACCTTATCGGCAGGACAAATAACTTATGCGGTCTATTTGACGTTACCCTCAGTCGTTCTCTGAACGCGACCGGATTCGAAGCTGTCACATTCTGCTTCACTGTCATTAGCTTGTCAATTCTCCAAACAATAAGCGTGGTTTTTTAGCAATGTACACTAATTTTTTAAGTAAATTTACTACGTTGGACTAAAACTTTTACCACGTGTTAACTATGGTGTATGTGCAGGATTTTATAGAACTTTTTGTGAACATTTCGTGCTTGGTAATTTTGTGATATAATTTTTATCATCTGGCATGGATGTGTTAACAATGAGGCTTTTAGAAGAAAGGTTATTTAACTTCAATTCTCTTAAAGAGAAATTCGAACAGTCAAGGTAATCCATTTTTTTAATGTGCGAGACAATTGTACCAATTATCTGGTCGTAATATACAAAATTCCCTTTATTATGATTACCAGGCAAGGGAATTCCTTCCGGAGCAATATATACCCAAAATACCCAAATCAGAACCAATTTAGGAAATGTCGTGTTCGTTCTCTATAATTTTAGAATTGTGACTACTTTTTCGGATATCAGCATTAACTTAGTCAGCCGTGACCATAGGACCTGTAAAGATTCCGAAGTTTATAAAAAATATACGCTATTTAGATCCGAAATAATAAAGATAACTTTTTTATAAAAAAAAGACCGCAATAATTTGTGGAATTACATCTATTTGCCTAGTTCATTGAAATCGGTTACCGGAAAGTGCGCGAAACCAGACTTCATCCCCTAGTTTGCCACCTTTAGAGGTGGAATATTTTCTTCAAATTTAAATGGTACCAATACTGAGGTACCCTCTTTCCAGCAAAAAAGTATAATCAAAATCGGTTCACAAATCCGGAGTAATCGCGTAACAAAAAAAAAAAACGAATTTAGTAGGTCCTCCTTTTTTTTGAAGTCGGGTAAAAATTGTTTATCAGTGTTGAACTTTGTTAATGGAAGATGAAGAAAGTGTAAAATATCAGAACTAACATGGAAAAAATAAACTGAATTCACTATTATATTCATTTATAGTAAAAATATAAATAAATAATAAAACGTGACAAAAATTCTCTGACATCATCCGAATTCGGCTGGGGTTTGAACACCTTCCGATTTTTTCCGGCGATTTGGTGCGGACAAGTGAACGAAGATTCGGATCATACAAAGAACTTTAAAGTTAAATTGTATCGGCTTTGTCGGCGCGTCCCGAGCCCGAATTCCAACCCGAGACCTTCTCCTCTAGTGCAAACCGTTGGGACATCGAGGTCGTCGTATTAAAAGTATCTTGCGTATTCAGAATCAAGACATATTGTCATAATACTTATGCAAAACATCAAAGAAATAGGCAGCCAATAAATATTCAACCTTTTAGATTATGGTGTAACCATAGATATAGGAAAATCTATGGGTGTAACGGACTGGTTGACGCAACTCGATGTATTTGCGCCAGTTTTGGGTAGAGTTTCAGGTTTTGTTGTGTCCGTATATCACGTATTACGATAGAATATTTTATAAAGAAACTATCCTGTATGTTCCCTTATCGCTTTCGGAACCCCACGAAAACATCCAGTTGTCGTTTTTGTGAACGAAAACTGTACAGCAGTTTCATATAGTAACAAGTGTTATTATGTTTGTTTGCAGGCTGGGCGGCGGCGTGCAGCGCAGCGCCACGCAGGCCGACATGCCACACCGAGGAGGCACCATCGCCGAAAGGTAAATTCGCACACAATTTTGTTTCTACATCCCTCACATAATACTAATAGCTGATTGGATTAGCTTGAATTGCATTACGTGAATTGAACACAGGTTTTCAGTTATTATTGATTCAAATATCAAACAAATAAAAATTACTTTTCGATCCGACTGGATTACGTTAGCCCCGGTCTGGCAAACAAGGTGTTGGTTTCAATTCAGCCGGATCGCAGGATTTTTTCTTTGTGTTTGTTGGATATTTGTATAATTTTTCAAAAAAATGTAAGTAATATCGTAATAAAATAGAAATAAGCTAAGTTTTCAGTATCCTTGCAAATTCATACTTCTTTTACTATCATAAGACTTTCGCTGTAACTATAATAATAAAAATAGTCATTATCATCATCATGGACATCCCCTTGTATGTCCCACTGCTGAGCATGAGTCTCCTCTAAGGAAAGAGTTTAGGATACGCACCGGCCCCTCTGACCCAATATATTACAATTAGAGTTTAACAGAATTTTGAAAGGAAATTCGAGGTGTTCATGATGCCAGAAAAGGAAAAAAATGAGCTCGTGCTATCACAATTTGCTATGGTATGGTGAAATTACAGGCACATGGGACTTGTTAACTTGTGCCTCAAGGTGAAGGGTGCAGTGGCCCCTCAGATCTTTGCGATTTAGAGCTCTGAGTGGTGCTGCAACTGTTATGGAAAGCCATGTAGCTTACCATCAAGCGCACGACTTGTTCATCCCATCACTTGATATTACCTATATTAAAAGACTCGACTTTCCTATAAAATACTTAGTATTTGAGACGGGGGTAGCTTTGAGTGAAATAGATCGAAGTAACATAAATCACGGTTGTACCGTCAGTTTTAATGTCGTAACTGTATTATTCAAATTCGTTAATTTCTTCGTGATAGGTTTTAAACGCGTTGCAAGAATGTATTTTGATTCACACATACAAAGTTTTTATAATTTTTATATTGACGCTCATGTAATAATAGACCATTCACATTATTTTTACAATTTGAAGTACATAAGCTATATTTTTTAATGAATGTCATTTATGTACGTAGTTAATTATGTGATAGCGACACAAAGATAAAATATAAATTTAGTAGCAGTAGAACTACTTGGAAGTATTGCCACGTTACCTATTTTTGTCGCCAAGCAGTAATGTCAGCATTACTGAGTTCCGATTATGAAGGGCAAGGGTGCTGGTGAAGTCACAGGCACATGAGACTTGTTTACTTATGTATCAGGCTGACGGGCGCAGTGGCAGTGCCCCTAAGATCTTTGCCATTTAAAGCTCTGAGTGGCACTGCAACTGTTGTGGACAGGCGTGTCGTTTACCACCAGGTACATGACTTGTTCGTTAGTCACTTGATGTTATAAAAAAAGACCCCAATCTAACAACTTTTTAAAATCCTTATTCTTGTATAATTTGTAGAGTTAATAATTAATAATAATCTATGTGCTGTGGAATTTCACAAACATGTATAATATAATTGATATACTCGTACTTTGTTCACTGTACTTAAGTGATGATAATAAATAAAGGTCATTGGCGTCATTTAGCTGTAGTGAGAATCCGAAAATAGCTATTATATACATACCAGCACAATTAACATATCAAAAAAAGTGAAAATTAGACATAAAGAAGTAATTCCATGAACATGTGTTAATATCTACTTAGTACATCCTTACTCAACCTTTATTGAACTGAACTGAAATTGCCTCGGTGCAGAGGTTCCTGGGTTCAATTCCCAGGCCGGGAGAACTATGCGTATGGTTCACATTTATTTCTTTCGGGAGTTTGGGTGTAATTTGTGGTTGTCCATGTGTGTGTCCATGGCCTTCGCGACACAGGGTTTCGCGGCAGGTTTCCTACTGCGGGGCTATGAGTGTGTTGCGTTTATTATTATTATTATTATTGAAGAAATAGAAATTTTATAATATGCATTTTTTCGATGCTGTGACAATGCTGAAATAGCTAAAAATTATAACATATTTACGGTTTTAACAAGTACAACACTCTTGTCATCATGCGCTAAACGACAGTGGTTAAAACTTTTTTTTAATCTGATGCCTATGCGTCGATATTATTTTTAAATAACTTGTTAGTGCCCACTTTCTTTTTGTAGCAGCAACGTACATCGTGTGTGATTCAGAGGAATCGAATTTGATTTCCCGCCAGAGAACTTGCATTACTGTGTCGTTTTCGAATCATGAACAGGGTAACCTGTCACTAACTCGAATTTATTTTTTCCGAAATAACGTTTGTTAAAATTTTCATTACCCCGAAAACCAAATTACAACGAAACTGTTGTTCTTTCAGGATATGTTGGATGTTTGTCTCAAAGACACTATTAGGTTCGGTTAGGTTAGGTTAAGTTAGGTTTAAAAGAAGAAACATTTTCCTCTCAAACTTACTTTCGAGGTTATGAAAATTCGAGTAAACGTTATTTCTGGAAAATGTTATTTTGGCCTTCTAATAGGTAACCCATGGGCAGTTTACAAACCGTTATTGTTGCTGGAATATAAAAGAAAATATCGTGATATCACATAACTCTTCAAAGATTTGTGAAATCACAAAACCGCATGGGACCAACGTGGAGTACAATAGCCTGAATTCTTTCTCCAGAAATGACTCCTGCCCAGGAGAGACACCTACACAGGGCGTAATGAAAAGGTGTAGCTATATTTTACGATTAAAAAATGTACATGAAACTTTGGACAACAATGCAATTTGTATTCGAAAAACAAACAATCCGTCGTTGTTGTGTTGTATAGAATGTACGAAAAGTTAAAAAGACAATTATTGACTTTTATTGAATTTCACGACGTTTTCTGTGATATTATTATATTATTTTTGTTATATTACTCCATTAGTTTGTTATATTTAAGGAATTTTTCTATGATTGTAACGCGCACGCACTCGTAGCCCGTGTTTGATATTTATCTATCTATCTAGAAGAGGGATACATGGTAAAATTGATCTCGTACGAATTACAAACTTATTGTAACCTTAGCATGTCAAAAATCAATTCTTCGATAATAATAATAGTAACACTCTAGTGTCATAGCTCCACACTAGTGAAACCCTGTATCGCGGGTGCCATGGACACACACATACACACCCACAAATTACACCCAAACTCACGAGTCGGCCACGAAGGTAGTTGTATTAATAATGATGAAAAATCGAATTATTTTTTCTTGGCTCATCCCGGTCGGTTTCATTGGCAATTTTTATATTGCAAAATACGCTTTTTTATTACATCCTCTATGTGGATTAATGATAGTGATGAACTCATAGCATCTAATTTTGTTACAAGGAAATATATTCAATAATATTTTTAATTTTCCTTTGAACTACGTATGTACTTGACAATTAAAACCAAATGTTAACGACAAATGTTGGTGAAGTTAAATACCACAATTGTCCAACATTTAAGTAGTGCTAAGTTAAATATAGATAAAGAAGAGTCTTCGTTTACTTTAAATAAATGGTTAATAGTCATTATGTAATTGCGGTTGTGATTGTCGTCTGTAGCAAAGAGACACTCTTAACATTTCTAAATAATTTAATAATTTATTAATTTATTAAATCGCCTAGGTGGTAATACGAATTGACAAAAATTATAACAACTTTAAGTAGAGTTGTTGTGCGTTGTAGAGACACAATATTTGTAGGTTAGATAACATCATGTAACTCGATTTTAATTTCTGAGTTATCAATATAATTCGAATATGTTGTAAGATAAAAACATGAAAAAATTTATATCCCTGCAAAAGCATTTTGTGCTCAGGACAACGAATGGTTGAAATTTGCGTACTATTAAGAAAACGTACAAATTTTCGGGTTTCTCTTTGTTTAAAGACGAGAATGGAATATTATACTTCAAATCAGTAGTAAATTTGAACCAAAATTCTATAAATTGATGACAAAGAACCCAGAATAGTTTAGATTTGCGAGATTATGTACGTACCACTATGTAGCTATGTAAATAGTAAATATGTAAATACACTGTGTCAATGTACCACATAGTTTGAGCTTCTCTTATTATAATTATATACATAGAAATATCTAACATACTTATCTAAGTCCGTCTCATCTATTCAACATTAAACATGACAAATGTATCTATAACATACAATTGTACATAGAAATTGTAACTTTTCAATACAAGTGTGATTCAAAGTCAAAGTTAAATAATCATTTATTCCATAGGTAAAATGAATATACACTTGATAACGTCACATTTAAGCTACTGCTTGGTCACTACGCTGACTTCCCTGAGAAGAACAAGAGTAAGAAACTTTAGGGATTGCTTTTTTCAAATAAACTTAAATGTTATGGAATATACTTTGAATCAATTTTGTGTGGAATGTAGAGCCATATCGTCTTTCAATTTTGTAGTATCACTTTTGAAAAAAAAAAATTTAATGTAGTTTTTAAACTTAGGAAATGATAATTTTAATATATGCTCCGGAATCTTATTGTAAAAACGCGTACAGTTCCCCATAAAAGAGTCGTTTACCTTGGTTAAACGAAATCGAATCGTGGTACCATGACTTTGGACTTAGCGCTAAGGTTAATATTATGGATATCTTTTTCTTATTTCAATGATTTCGGCAATGAGAGCACTGAGTGGCCATTTCTTTGATTTATAGTGAGGTTTGCAGCTGCGGTTGTCTTTTTATGTTTGACGTAATATTTATGTTATGTTTTGTGTAATAGGTTCGTTGAATTGTGCATCCAGGTTCCTTATTATATTTTCTTTTTGTGACGATCTGTAATTGCGTCTCAGTTGTTATTATTATAGTTTAAGTTAGTTTTAAGCTGTTGGTCTTCCTTTTAGACAAAATAAAGCACAAAAGCACATTTTCAGATGTATAGATAGCTACTGTTTACTAAATACTTGCTACTCAATTAAAGAGAAACCAATACTGAGAAAAAGAATCTTTTAAAAAAATTGTCACATACTTGGTGCGTTATCAAATAATTAATTAAATTACTTTAAGAAATAATATGAATAAGTAATAATTGTATCATATCTATGTAGAGTTGCTGTGAACAACGCGAATGTGGATTTCGTGAATATGTACACGGGTCGTTGCGGCATGGTTGTTGAGTAGTGTGACTGCGAAACACGTCTTGTCTCACTTACGTACATAAATCTTATTGTGGTGATGAAAAGAACACCTTGTGTTCATTTTGTTCACATTGAACTGTATTGGTGGTGTTGTTTGCTCAATTTGTTCAATAGATGGCGTACACGGTCCTGTGAATCTTATTTCTCATACAAAAACTTGAATATGTTTAAGTGCCATCTACTGGTGCAATATTGAACTTGCAGTTAAAGCTTTCACTAAACTGTATCAGAACAGCCTGTGTCCTGTAAGGAGAGCACTCGCTTATGCGTAATACATTAACTTCAAGTATTTATTTTTTAAGCATCCACGAAAATATGAAATTTGTAAGTATATTTATTAAATTGTCCCATATGATATTCTTTGCAGGCTGGCAGCTCTCCAGGCAGCCGGCGCGAACGACTGGCGTGCGAGGGTCTGCCGCCTTAGTCCTGACAAGGAGGATTCCAAGGCTATCGAGCGAGTCAAGAACAAAATCAACGTTAGTACATTTTTTTTCTCTTATTATTTTTTCTTTTAATTCTATCCTAATTCTAAAGCTATATACGGGCGGTATTTTCTTGGCTTTTACTCGATGACCCTGAGACGTATTTTTAGATTCAATATGTAATTATGAGGACACCAATATTGTCACAGATTCAAGCAGCTTTTACATTAGTAAGAAGGCGTTGTAATGTGAAGTGTCCCTGAGTGAATTCCGTTGCTCTGGTGCTCATAGCACAGGGACTTCCCTAGTTTGAGACCAGGCAATTGGTGTAGTTGTCTGGCACATTATTATTAATTTGAATGATGATGTAGCTCACCAGTATAGAAAAAGGAATGCTTCGTTGGTTTGGTCATATAGAAAGAGTGTTAGTTGACGCCACAAATTTATAGAACATGTTGGTGGAAAAGTGGATTAGAAATATCCTTGAAAAAGGTCCTGTTAAAAGTACCAAGAATAAACATATGACGAGACTGATGGGAGTACTTGGTACTTGGTGCAACGGGCTGGTTTCCGCAACTCGACGACAAAGCGCCTATTTTGCGTGTGGTGGGTGCAGGGTCCTACTTGTGCCACACAAGCTTCTCCAGGAATCTCAGCAGCCTCCTTGGTTTGCTGAAGACTTCGGGGAGCGACCTTGGCACTCCAAGGTACTTTGCCCTGTAGTTGGCCACGCCGGAGCACTGGAGTAGGATGTGCGCAGCCGTTTCCTCCCCCTCCATGCACGCTCTGCATAGAGGGCTGTCTGTGATACCTAAATTGAAAAGGTGTTTATTGTATGGACCATGATCCGTTAGGGCGGCAGTTAGAGTGCGAAGCTCTTGCCTTTTAAGTTTAATTAGTATTCGAGATAGACTGGCATTGAGCGTTGGGAGTGCTTCCCTCGCCTGTCTACAAACCGTAAGGGTGGTCCATGTATTATTATGTGAAGATTTTGTACCTTTGTGTATAGTTGTTCTGGACCATTGGCAGGGGAGGGACACTATCGGTTCTGGTTCTACAGCGTCCGTCTCCGACCCTTTCCTGGCTAGTTCATCTGCTGCATCATTGCCACGTGAGCCGCTGTGTCCTTTAATCCACTGAAGAGTTACGTGGTTTTGTATACATACCTCCATGAGTGCTTGATGGTATTCGTAAATGAGCCCTGAGTTTATGTCATAGCTATTCAGTGCTTGAAGTACTGACATACTGTCGGAGAGTATTCGAATGGAGTAAGTAGTTCTTTACTCTTCTCGCTATGATTGCTTCTGCCGCCAACTTGATGCCCATGCATTCAGCCTGGAATACTGTGTTGTGGTCACCAAGCGGTGCTGATATCCTAATATTGAGGTCTTCTGAGAATACCCCAGTACCTGTTCCTGAGTTTGTTTTAGATCCGTCAGTGAAGACTGATGGGAGTATAGGAGGTGATAAATGTTGATCAAGAATGTAATGGGTGGAGGTCTGAGACAGCGTGATAAGCGTGAAGATAAAAAAAAAACAACCGTAGTGCCTTACTTAAGTCTCGATTACTATCAGAACCGCGGTCGCCAAAATTCACACACTCATAATTTGAAACACTATGAAATATTGATAATGATTGGTCATAGTTTCTAATTTAGAAAGAAATAACAAATTCTATACTGTTAACATAGTTTAAACTTTACCCTGTTGGTATATCGTTGAAAGTTCAATACCCATTATTGCAAGTTACGACGCTTTTATCTCATATTGAAATTTCAATCAATGTGTTGCCATCTAGCTCTTAATAGCTGAATGACAACGAATTCGAGATGTTTACTTGATTCTCCAAAAAAAGTGACCATATTGCAGCGGCATAAGGTGTACTTTCGTTTCTTGTAACGAAAAACATGTTACGGTAAACAGAAAATTAAAAATTTGTTATAATTGAAAAAATAAAACTTAACAACGATATGAATTCCGCCATAGACAATATTACAAGTGCGACTATCATTTTTGCATTCCAAATTACCAAAATAAGGCATTTTTCTGTGATATTCGAGGTTTTGCGCAAGATAATTGACACGACCATACGTACAAATAGAAAATGGCGGACTGAGCCGCGTACTGTTGGCCCACGTGCCACGCCGACTAAGCACTTCTATTGTATTTATTTTCCGTGTATGTACATATATGTATATATAGAGCCTTATCTAAAATGTTAGAATAAAATCAAGTAATATGAGAATGAAACAATTTTTTCGGATCTAAGTATATTTGTTTTTACCTGTAAAAAGCCCGAAATGTTGATTTGTTTGAAAAAGATATCTTTACAACGTGAAAGTGTTTTGTTACGATACAGATACTCAACCTAACAATACATATTGTGAACATTTCTGAAAATAAGTTTTCGAAGAAGCTTAGCAGTCGCTAAAGCAAAATAAATTGCTTGTCAAAAACAAAATGGCCGTTTGGCGTGTCATTTTCGTGTCATCACTGATCTCGTCCGGGTATGGCATCTATATGCGAGTTTATGAGGTATTCCAAAAGCATTAGGGCTCAATTTCAAAAGCGTAATAGTAACGATATGGTGTGCAAGTTCTGAAATGTGAAGTACACTTACAAAAATATCAAACCAGTTAGCTAATCGTTTCATATTACACTGGTTATTTCTGGTGTAAAAGCTAGAAGCTTTTAGCCAAAAGCCAAAGTGCAACATAATTATGCCATTGTTTATGTCATTTATTGGCATATTGACCATTAAAATAAGAGTAGATTGAAAAATAAATGAATGAATAAATATTATGATAAACACAGAACAGTAGATCACAGAGTTGTAGTAATGTACAACGGGCGGACTTATTGCTAAGTGGCAATTTCGTCCAGACAACCCTACATCACGTGAATTGTAAACGATTTGTAAATTGCTTGTTGAGCAATTTTAAAGTCGTAAAACAAAACATTGTTGTTTTTTGCTTATCTCCAAATCATAGTGAGAATGTAAAACAATTTTTGTGCCGACATATTGTTTGTGACAGATTATTTGATAAAATGGGTGCTACAATGTCAGAATCTATTCATGTTTTACTCTTTTTTTTTTTTAATTCAATCCCTGTTTAACTTATAACCAGAGCCTTAGTGTAAGCTTCAAATATGTAAACTTAACTATCGTGTTGGCGTTTAGATTTTAGTTTAAACCTTATAAATATATAGTTATGATTTAAATATAAACGTTAACGCAAACGCGGTAGTTGCGTTTCAATGATTACAAATTTACATTCCAGCCTTTATTGTAAGATAGTAGAAACGGAAGTAGCCTCAAACTTAAAGAAAATGTTTAAAATAACTAGAATGCAAAGGCCGTTATTGTGCCGTTATTTGACTTTTGTTAAACAATGTAGATTTTATAAACCCAAGTGACGGGACGAATGTCGTGACAGTCGTGCACCTGTTGGCAAGCCTCACGCCTGTCCATAACACTTGCAGTACCACTCAGAGCTTTAAATCGCAAAGATCTGAGGGGCACTCCCATTGCACCGTCACTCTGAGACATAAGTTGACAAGTCCCATGTGCCTGTAATTTCGCCAGCACCTTTACCTTTCAAAACTGGAACGCAGTGCTCACATTATTGCTTGGCGGCAAGGTTAGGTGAACTGGTAGTACTTGTCTGGACGAACACTTTACAAAGAGGTCTACTGCTACTAAACTTACATTGTGCAATGAACAATTTTTTATTGTATTATGTAAACAGTGTCGGTTTAAAGAAGTTACTGACAAAAATATACTTATTTCTCAATCGCTTAGTATTCAACCTTTTGCCATCAGCACTATAAACTTGTCCCCTCAAGTGCAGCGCTATCTGAAGTGCACTTGCGCAACCGCCGACCTTGCTGTACCTCTGACAACGGCCACCCTGAGCTACTCTGTCCCCTCTGTACTGAAGTAAGGGCTCTTGAAAAAGCATTGTTGCATGCAACATTTGCGTCCATATCTTTTCTATAACAGATTGTGATAAAAGTGCATGTGTGTTATTGCCGGGCATGTGCCAATATGTACATATTTATGTTATGATAACTCCTAAGGGAAATGTAAAATAATATAATAATATAGTAGTATCGGATGGCACATCAATAACCTGATCTCAAATGAGGAAATTACCTGTATGGTGAAAGCACCAAAATTAACTCTTGAGATACTACCCAGAACACTAGGACCGAATGAAGAAACTTGCATGAGTTTCTCGCAGGTGGCGCTGTCGGCATTAAAAAGCCGTTAAAACGGCTCGATAAAAAGATCTGTAACAAGCATGTACAGAAAAAATCTGGCGTACATATGCATAGCTCAGTTTGTAAAATTTTCTTTGTTGTTCGATTTTTCTATCAATAATAAATACTGCTGCCGTTAGTTGAAAGGGCGCTTGTGACGTTTAAAATAAATATTGTTTAATATGTATAGAAGGCCGTAATCAGTAAAAAAAGACGATCGGTCACTATTTTAATTTTTTCCTAGGTGGGTGAAATTACCACAAGAGAAAAGTAGATATTTTTAACCGACTTAAAAAAGGAGAAGGTTCTCAATTTCACTATATTTTTTTGTATCTATGTTACGCGATTAATCGAACAATCTGGCATTTGTTAACCGATTTTGATGATTCTTTTTTTGTTGAAAAGAGAGCATCTCAGTATTGTTACCACTTAAATTTGAAGAAAATATTCCACCTCTAAGGGTGGCAAACTAGGGGATGAATCCGGTTTCGCGCACTTAAAACGATTTCAGTCAAACTTGGCAAACAGATGTATTTCCACGAAAAATAATTTATAAAAGTTATAATCTTAAGTTATCTCTTGGAATGGCTTCGCTCTTATTTGTCACAAAGATATCAGTCAGTTGTAATAAAGGGCTTTGAGTCTAACGCATATATTGCACAATCGGGTGTGCCACAGGGCTCTAACCTGGGACCCTTACTTTTTGTTTGCTACATAAATGATATCACATCATGTGTGAAACATTGTAAGTACTCTCTCTTTGCAGATGACTTAAAAATATATAAAAAAAT